AAGACTTATATATCCTTCAGTACATAAATGCTTTTACCCTGTTGATTTGCCTTATATGAGCATCAGTTGTCTATGTTGGTTTTGTAATAACCTGCCAGAGAATGTTGGAGTGAGTTGCAAACTGTTGTAATAATCTGTTAGAATGTTGTGAAAGTGTGTGAACTGCCAGAGAATGTTGTGACATGCATAGTGTATGTCTGTAGAGGCATACCTTATTTAGCTACTACTGAATTCTCAATGTATATTACTTTATCATTTTGTAATTCATGTACAGTAGATGTTAGTGATCAGTATTTAGGAGTAATATTAACTCTTTATGCCCACAGCTTCCAGAGTTGCAGGCTGGTGGGAGACTTATTTGATTCTGGATGAGAAGGGACTACCCCATCAGTGTCACGGTCTTGATGCCAACCATGTGCCAGGAGCTGTCATGTTCCTCTTCAAGGTCAGTACTGTACAGTAATTCATCAATTTTCTTTGTGAGAGTAATATAAAGCTAAGAGGTACCTGATTACTTGCAGTCTAATTCACTTGCCTTTCCTGCGTGTGCTGTTGTGTGTCTGTTTATAGTTGTGCTATGTTGAACAAATAGCATGGAGAATCAAACTTCATATCAAGGTTACCCTCCTCTGCATTTCCAAGTCTATATGATGGACACGTGTGAAATTAGGGTTATAATGTATAGAAAATAGTTGATTAAGCAAATAGATAATATATTATTATGCTAAATTGTTCTTTGTAATAGGTAACACTTATAATAGCATTTAATACAGTATAATAGAAAGTGACAGTGAATGAGAGAGCTTGTATAGTTTCTTGATTCTAACCTACCTGAAATGGCATGAAGGTTTGACATGGCCTCATAAGCTATCCATGGATTCAATATAAGATATTGACAATACAGTACTCTATTGTGGTGTGGTATGAAGGTTTGTGCAGTATATCGAAGAAATCAAAAAGGATTTGATTTTATTGACATGATCTCTATAATATTCAGTGGTTGGTGGCAATCACAATTATATTGTGTAATATTTTGTCAGTCTGTGTGGGAGATATTTATCTGGTTTACAAGGTGGACAAGAGTTCATCTTGATATTAATAACATGCCTCACTGTAGAAGATAATCATTATTATCAATACATTGTATATTAATTTACTTGATCATTGGTCCAAGGTGTTAATTAATGTAATTGTGTGCTAATATACATTTTATAATATGTATATCTAAATAATTTTTTATTTAAAAATATTTTATCCTTATCTCATATGTATTTTGAAAATCTTTGAACTAAGTCACAGGTTTCTACTAGAATTTATATCTAGTATGGCGATGATACTCGAACGAATGTCAAGTCCTCGTGTGTTCCTGTAGCCAGGTACCGAAAAAGTTATTGATAGCATGACTTGGAGGAATAGCTTCTCCATCCACTATTTTGTTTTTCAATAAGTGGTGTAACCATCAGCAGTAACTTGTCCAAACATTCTATCCATTAGCAGGAAATTCATTCAGCATAATTGACAATTTATTACAATTCAGATAACAGATTCTCATGGAGTAATGATTCTGCTTATTCAGCCATTTTTTTTTGGCCCAACATCTCCGTTAGCCATGTATTCTTATCCTTGCCTAAGCGAAACTCAAGAGCAAGAGCTACACAAGCATCACTGTCAACATTCATGATTGGTGATTCCAGAACCTCGTATCAACGACAAGATCGCAAAACATTGACTGTTAATCAAGACAGATTTTGATGAATTCTTGCTGTCAATATATTGAGTAACTTTATTGATTGTGTATGATCCACTTTAGACTAAAGCTTTACTTTCATCAACACCTGCCAGCTGACAAATTATTTACATAAACCCCATGAGTGTATTTGCTGACTAAATATTCATGTTTATGTCAAGGAAAAATCCCATACTAGTATGCACAAAGTCATCCTAGTCCATAATCCAGAAGTACGATGATTCACTCAAAAGTTGTTGTCAGGTTGATTCTATATACAAACTGATTTTAATTTGTTTTGTATATTAATGACGTCGTTTCAAATTCTAGGTTACTTTGGTAATATCTGTACTCCGTGATTATGCGGTGGTACCCTGAACTTCTAGAAAACAAGGTGTTGAAAAGGTGTGGTGTAAAATCCGAGCTGGATGAACTCTACCTGGATAACCTTCTCTGCCACATGTTGTGTCTTTCCTCCTAGGAAGGATGCTAGCAGGAACTGTTTAAGATTATTGAGTAAGTTTAACTATTGAAGGAACAAGGAAGATCTTGTCAGTGAGGTACTATCAACTGTTAGCCTTTTATCATTAAGTCTCAAACTTGGTACTGTGCCTGTTTAGAGAGACTGATAAGAAAGTAATAGACAACCCGTTTTGCCTAGAGGGTGACCGTGGAGGCTCCATTACAACATCTGATATCCTCTACAACAAAATAATAATACTGAAGTGAAATTAATGCTCACATTAGAAGCAACTATCTATGTCTCACCCCAGTTTAATTTGTATTCTGACTTTAATGAACATTCTTGGGTTTCATACATAAATTTGCATATGATCTAAATTATCATCACTACTATAGGCTTTTCATATGCAAATTTGCATCTGAGGATATGAGGTAAAAAATAAAATTATTTTTGTTTTAACGTAGAACACTAGACATGCAAGATGCACATTTGGCAACATCAACCGCGATCTGGCAACTATGTGGACTGCACCCAGGTCACCACACCACATCTCCTTTTGGTTTTTAAAGGACCCAGGATATAACGTTGACTCACATTTCCACACATTTCCTTGCGGCTTTGCTGATTTTCCATGCACCAGTGATTTTATTTATTTATAACTTTGTTGAGAGCTTTGAACCATGCCTCGTGTTGTGGAGGTGGGAAAACAAAAAGTGCAGGAGATTGCACCGTGGGTGATAATGTGGTGCCTCCTGATGCATCTCCTAACAAATATTAATTTTTCACAACTATTTTCCCTAAATCTTACATTTTTAAAAGAAATTAAGTTCATATTGCAATCCATGAAATATGAAGATATAAAGTGATGTATAAACAGTTCAGTAAGCATATATTTTATTGTTTTATTTGCGCTTATGTATGAAATAATTACTTTATCGTGATTCGCATATTAAAATGTTTGTACACAATTTTTTCCAATGCTCATAACAGATTCCACCAATTTTAGCTCAAATAACAAGTTAGCTATGACTCATTACATACAATTATCACTTGTGTGGTGCAGTCAAGTGCTGTGAAGTGAGTAACAGGGCAGGCCTGGCGTCTCATGAGAGTGCCGACCCAACCCAGAGTAATTAAAATATATGGATTTTTTTTTTTTTTTTACAATGTTATGTTCTAAATTATAATCTATGGCTGGACTTAATGCTAGACAGAACCTATTTTCAGTCCTTGAAATTAATTAAAAGGGAAAATAAAATATATTTTAAAATAAAGAATATCGCCATTCAAAGTTTAAGTGTTATTACTTTTTATTATTTAAATATATTTTAATTTTCTCTCAATACAAAAATTCCTTTTGTAAATGAATTTTCATCAAGCACCATACCAGACCCATCATCAAACAGCATCAATTTGGGCCGAGAGGACTTTAGAACATTAAAAAAAGGTTCCAAGAGAGGATATTAGGACCCAAAATATACTTGAAATACTACAACTACCGATATTCAGATTCATTCTTTAACCCAGATAACCAATTCATGCTGTCCCCATGCATCAGGTGAGTGTTTTTATGTACATAGATTCTTGAAACAGACAAAAAAGTTGATACTGTAATATGAAAATAAAAGTTTGTACATTGGGTATAATAACGAATCTAATTGGTTCTAGAACCATTAAATTATAGCATTAGTTCAAATATAGGATAATCGTTCCAGGCCCCAAATACAACCATAACACTGAAAATATAATATAAAATTGTAAAATTGTAAAAAGTGCATAAATATGCATCTAAACCCTGAAATAAAGAATATCATTAATACTTATGACAAAAACAATAAATTAGTAAAAAAAAAATTTTAAATAATGTTTTGTAGGAGTTTCGTTAGATTATAACATTCTCAATTTTATAGGTAAAACCATTCGTTATAGGAATATTCGTGAGTAGGATCCGTTCGTTATAGCAACTACACACTGTATATGTTTATTGTTCTATTTAGTCTTGGCTTATGAAAAAGTTGCAAAGATCAGTGATTTTGGGGATAATGTTCACATAAGTTATGTATGTAAAGGAACTAAAGAGGTTTGCGAGAAACAACACCTATCAAAAATGCTCCATTATCTCTCAGCCTTGTAAAAAACCTCTATTTGAGGTCTGTCGTTAGATCTTACATCTCGAAAAACTCGTAAATTTGTAAACTAAATTGCATATTTGCAGGAGACCACCATGTATTGACTGTTTAAGTAAAACTCGACTTAATATTTTCCAGATGCAGGTATCTTCTCACCAGAATTGGAACAATGAATATCAACAATAACTATCATGTTGACAGGCTTATTTGAGGCTGGACAAATGAACATTCACCAATCAGCCACTAACAGTGGAATATTTATAGTACCCACAGTGATCATTCATCATACCCTGAGCTGATGGAGATGGTGGCTCAGCTTGCACCTCATTATGTGAAACCTATAGTGAAGATGGTCAAAATCAGCTGATCTCATCCCAATGCTCCTGATCAGATAGTTAAGGAGACATGTCTGTTTATGGACATTTTCTCACTTTATCAACACCTACCCCACTCGTGGTACCTGATGTTGTGTCTATGTTAATGAAAGCGGGATCTCCATGTTATTATCCTACCGCCCGGCGCTGTATATCGTGGTCTGTCACCTAGAACTGGGCGCACCCGAGGTTATTTCTCCTGAAACTCACACTCCTATCACCTGCCTCCCAATCTCACTCACTGCTCCAACTTCAAGTGTCTCTCTGGACATTGGCCTACCCGACTCCGTATGTCACATCCTTCAGACATATCCTTATGGTAACTTATACGCCCAATAGTAATGGCTCGCCTCTTCCAAGTAAGAGTGTCAGTGGGACACAATTATATGCACCGTACTATTAATGAAATTCAAACAGACAGTGAGTTGAGTAATAACGGTGTCATATGATGAACAACCTACTTCAGGGTCCTAGTGAGGAGTAACAAGCGGTGTCGTATGATGGAACAACCTGCTAGGGTCTAGTGAGTTGAGTAGCAAGCAGTGTAAGTATGATGGTAAAACCTACTTCAGGGTCAATAACTGGCGAGTTGAGTAACAAGCAGTGTCACGGATGGAACAACCTACTTCAAGGTCTAGTGAGCTGAGTAACAAGCAGTGCCAGTGATGGAACAACCTACTTCAAGGTCTTGTGAGTTGGGTAACAAGCGGTGTCGTATGATGGAACAACCTACTTCAAGGTCTAACAGTGAGTTGAGTAATAAGCGGTGTCATATGATGGAACAACCTACTTCAGGGTCTAGTGAGTTGAGTAACAAGCGGTGTCGTATGATGGAACAACCTGCTTTAGGGTCTAGTGAGTTGAGTAACAAGCAGTGTCGTATGATGGAACAACCTACTTCAGGGTCTAACAGCGAGTTGAGTAACAAGCAGTGTCACGTGATGGAACAACCTACTTCAAGGTCTAGTGAGCTGAGTAACAAGCAGTGCCACGTGATGGAACAACCTACTTCAAGGTCTTGTGAGTTGGGTAACAAGCGGTGTCGTATGATGGAACAACCTACTTCAAGGTCTAACAGTGAGATGAGTAACAAGCAGTGCCACATGATGGAAGCCCTGATGGAACAACCTACTTCAGGTTGTAGTGAGTTGAGTAACAAGCAGTGCCACATGATGGAACAACCTACTTGTCTAACAGTGAGTTGAGTAACAAGCAGTGCCACATGATGGAACAACCTACTTCAGGTTGTAGTGAGTTGAGTAACAAGCAGTGCCACATGATGGAACAACCTACTTCAAGGTCTAGTGAGTTGAGTAACAAGCAGTGCCACATGATGGAACAACCTACTTCAGGGTCTAGTGAGTTGAGTAACAAGCAGTGCCACATGATGGAACAACCTACTTCAGGTTGTAGTGAGTTGAGTAACAAGCAGTGCCACATGATGGAACAACCTACTTCAGGGTCTAACAGTGAGTTGAGTAACAAGCAGTGCCACATGATGGAACAACCTGCTTCAGGTTGTAGTGAGTTGAGTAACAAGCAGTGCCACATGATGGAACAACCTACTTCAGGTTGTAGTGAGTTGAGTAACAAGCAGTGCCACATGATGGAACAACCTACTTCAGGGTCTAACAGTGAGTTGAGTAACAAGCAGTGCCACATGATGGAACAACCTACTTCAGATTCTAGTGAGTTGAGTAACAAGCAGTGCCACATGATGGAACAACCTACTTCAAGGCCTAGTGAGTTGAGTAACAAGCAGTGCCACATGATGGAACAACCTGCTTCAGGGTCTAACAGCAAGTTGAGTAAGAAGCGGTGTCGTTTGATGGAACAACCTACTTCAGGGTCTAGTGAGTTGAGTAATAAGCGGTGTCATATGATGGAACAACCTGCTTCAGGGTCTAACTTATTGCTCACAAACAATTTGGTTTCTGCTTTGGGTAGTTATATAAGTGGAACACTACCTGCTACACAGAATGACAATAAGGACATGTTTAGATTACCTGTATTAAGAAGTGGGGTGAGCTCAACACCCATGAAACCATCTTCAGCTAATGATAATGTTAGCCCCACTCAAGAAACATCTTCAGGACAGTCAAAGCGTTCTAAGCTGATGAAAGAGATAGATAAATTGATATCTAAAGAATGTGCATTCCTAGAAGTTAATGATGGAATTGCTGCAAATGATCTATCACAAGTGTTATTAGGTGCTAGAACTGTGTGTAAAGCTGTTGAAAGACTTATGTCACACCTAACTGAACCTTTTTAGCTCCTGCTGACTTGGTTAACTTACAAGTTAACCAACATCTTTTGTTTGCCCAAAAATGGTAAAATTTACATTTTATTAAAAAGAACAATTTGTTACAGGGTTCATAGAGCAGCAGGAGAGGTGACAGCACTTTTGACTACAAATCTGATATTCTGAGGTCATGATTTTAGGGTCCATGCACCCATGTTAGTCATTTATCATTAAGTGCAACTCTGTTGGTGTCAAGGGTTTTTGAACTTGACAAGTTTTCCTGTATTAGAATTTATTTATCATAATTCAGATCTAAATTGTCATAAAAGAATGAGAAAGCATATTTTTTATGTCGCACAGTTAATCTTCAAACGAACTTTGAGAGCTCCAGTGTACCTTCCTTGATCAGGAGTTATTTGCATTCTTGGTGAACAGACAACCACTCACCCAGTTGGAGCAAATCAGTGGGTGGTAAGGTAAACCCCTCATCTCATGGTTGCTTCAACAGTCGGTTAGGTTACTTGCTGAAGAATGAATTTGCTCGATTTGGTCTTTAGTTTGTAAATTTGCTGAGTTTTCTTACAACAAAAGAATATGATGTTTTTGTTAAGTACTGTACAGTCACTGAGGGAATATTTTGGTAAACATCACTTAACTTTTCCCTTCAGCTATAAAATGTTATTTCATATTTTAATTCTTTTATATATTTACTTCCATGTAGTAGTTAATAATCCAGTATTGTTTTTGCTTGTACATGATTTTGTGCCAAAGTTTTGTTTATGAATGATAAACGACTTAAAGTATTATTTGTCCTTATATTTATTTTCACAGGTACATGTATGTTCTCTATTACAATAAGATACTATTTCCAATAAATTATAAAATCTGAATAAGCTTTTGTTAATGAGTTGTGTATTATTAGTTATTGTTTACACTTTTAACCATACAGTCCATGGAGTCCAAAACCATTTAATTAGTTTTGCACAATATTACCTCAGTGCTGGGCAGCCTTCATGTGGTGCTGTTTCTGTACACGTGTGTACGTAAACCACATCAATGGTGAACTTTTACTGCAGTATGAACACATAAAAAGCAGATCCAGCTTCCTTACCTGGAACTGAAGGCATACTGTACTGGGTTGGGGAAGGTACTGTCTTGTTTTGCAGAAAAATTAATGACCACCTTTTTGTGGCAATTTATAAATTTTGGCTGCCAAATCAAGACACGCCTTTCATTGAGCCCCCACCCAATAAAATTCATAAATCTTTTCTGGAATTAGAAATCTTAAAAGATTTTGGACCTGCTATTGGTTTTGCATATACAGGACAATGATTTACGTGAAGCATCTTATGGAACTTCTACGAAATTTTCACTTTACAATCATGGTTTGATGGCTTCTGTTCTCTTGCATGTAGGGAGAGAGATAGAGCATATCAATTTCTGAAACTATGTCCTTCTCTTATTACCCAATCCTCTTTCATTACTTTTGGTAATCGTTGTAAGGTTATTTTCCGTAGGGCCAAATGGAATTTTATAACAAGAAAGACCGCTGACCTGACTAACTCTTCTTCTTGAAAATCCTGGTCCTTAACCAAACACATCTGTAATAACTTCTGCACTCCCTCTTTTCCTCCTGTCTCCTGACCTGATAACTCTATAGCAAACTCTCCCCCTGATAAAGCCAATCTCTTTGGCACCTTATTATCCTCTAAATTCACCTTAAACAATTCCAACTCTATCCCTCCTACTGAACCTATGCACTTTCCTATAATCTGCACTTGTAGGGTTGCTGGTGTGTTATCCAGGTTGGATGTGAGTAAGGCTCATGGACCAGACGGAATATCTCCTTGTGTTTTGAGGGAGTGTGCTGAAATTCTAGCCCCTGTGCTTGCTCACCTCTTTCACCTTTGCCTCAAAACCCAAACTTTTCCTTCTTCTTGGAAGCATGCCTCGGTTCAGCCCATCCCAAAGAAGGGTGACCATTCCAATCCCACAAACTATCGCCCCCATTGCCCTAACCTCATCCCTCTCCAAGATTTTCGAAACTAGCTTAAACTCTCATTTTCTCTATCACATTGAAAGCCTTTCTCTTTGTGTACATTCTTTCACATTTTCCCCATCCCCTTAATTCTCAAACTAGATCCATTTCTATAGCTGATATTATTTCATCTGTCAATGCGGATCTGTGCTGCATCTCCGAATGGGGAAGTAGAAACTTGGTTAAATTCAATAGTAATAAAACACAGTATTTACCAATTACACTTTCCAAAACAGAACAGGAGATCTTCCATGAGTCACATTTCAGGATACAATCATTCTGGCAAATTCTAAAATTGATATGCTAGACCTCATCATTTCCTCTAAAATGTCATGGAAGCCACACATCCACAACATTAATAAAGCTACTTCCCGAAAGCTGGGAATGCTGTACAGATGCCGTTGCTACCTAACTCCTGAAGAGTTGCTTCAAATTTATCAGGGATTCATTCATCCTAACTTGGAGTATTGTTATCATATTTGGGATGGCTCCTCTTCTGTCCAACTGTTTGATAGGGTGGAATCAAAGACATTTCGTATTATTAACTCTCCTCCTTCAGTTGATAATCTCTCTTCCCTTTCTCTTTTCCGCTCACTCTCTTTCTTTTACAAGTACCTTAACGGGCAATGTTCGGTGGATTTGGCATCCTGTGTACCGCGAGCACGGCCGTGGGCTCGTAATACTTGTCTTGCCTGCGGTGCCCACTGTTTCTGTGCAGATGTCGGTTACACTAGGATAACCCGTTATAGTACATCCTTCGTTCCTCACACAATCAAACTGTGGAATGCTCTGCCTTCTTCTGTGTTTCCATACTTATACAATCTGTCTCACTTTTAAAAAATGGTTGTCCGACATATTCGGGGTGTAGATTAATATAGTCTTTTTCTCTTGTATTTTTTATTTATGTTTACTATTATTTTTTTGCCCTCTAGGCCCCGTTGTGGGTCGATGGCCTGTGGCAGGGTGGGCTATTGCCGTAACAAAAAATAAATAAAAATTATGTACTGGAGTATTCAAGGTCAATGGCTAATAGGAATTTGTTGGTCAGCACTGAGGTGTGAGTGAATTTTAAATACAGTACCCCATTGATTTGATAAACAGCTTTAGGAATGTAAAATTGAAAAATTAGCAACTTGAACCAAGCTGAAAATTACATAACTTACTGTATATTCGATGAGTTGGGACTAATGCTATCACATCACATTACATTACAGTACAAATATATGGCCAAAGACATATTACATCATCTACATATCTAAACCAGACTGCTGAAGGTGGTAAAATATTACTTAATAGTTTCTTCTCAAAGAATGCCATATATAAGTTGCTTAATACTGGTGAAAGCGGATTACCCATTGCCATACCAAAGTTTTGAACATAATATTCTCCATTGAATTCAAATTTACAATCCTTGATACATAGTTTGATGAGTTCGATGAAGTCATCTTTTGAGACGGGCAATGGTTTTCCCAGGTTAGTCCATTGTATAGAATATAACTAAGCATTGATAAATATTGAAATATGTAAGAGAAAGATAAGAAACAGTAATGACATTGAAGCAAATATAGAGGCTATAGAAAAGAGAGATAAAGACTACTTAGTTATATAAATTAATATATGACCTTGAAAGAAATAAAGACTTAATAAGAAAGTAAAATATAAAAATAAAGTAATAAGGATACTTAAATAAAGACTCAGAAAAATAAATTAACTAATTTAATGTAACTAAGAAATTTAAAGGTTATATAAGACAGAAATAACAGAAAAATATATTAACTTAGAAAACATAAACAGAAATTAAGGAAAGAAGTTGAAAACAAATAAATAAATAATAGAAAACTTTTGTCCCCCCCCCCTTCCATTAGGAGGTGTAGGAGAAGCACCTGGGACATACCAATGGTAAGGAGGCGTACCACACGTCCGATACACCTAACGCTTTTTTAAATTCGACTTTCCATAGCGGTAAAACGCCTTTGGGCTTGACTTTACTTCGCTTGCAATCTATCCCTGGAACTTTTTCAGACCTTCTACACTGACTTTGCCAAATTCCTGTTGGTTTCTTTAATACTACGGTAACACCTTTAAACTCATTCAATGTTATTTACTTCTCGCATTTAAATCATTCATGAAGATTTGTATTTCTTCCATGATGACGAATGTTAGATCATTACCATGAACAGAGACGAACCGATAAACCAGTAATTTTCTTCAGGTTACACCAGCGGATAATTTATTTTTTAATTACCATCGAGTTGTTAGATTAGATTTTGTTATAGTTAGTCAGGAACCGCTTTCTTTATAAAATGGTACTCAACGTCATGCTTTTGTATATTTCCAACATTGACCAATTGGCTTATTGACATAGTTACAAACGACCTGTGTTAGTGGAAGGTTATTTCACCAGGAGGATCAGTGATTGGCTATTCTGTGGATAAAACACAGCTCTTATATATAATACTTTGGGCGCATCATCCAAATGAATTGAAGTATGTATCTGGTAAATGCTGATATACCACACAGACTGCATAAAGACTAGAAAGACCCGAGTATCGTAATCTGTACCGCCAAGCGAAGGTTTGAACTGCAGCTACTATGTTAATCATTCTATGTCTAACTTGTTAAATTTATATAAAAGCACCGTTAGTATTGATTTTAATGTATCTAATGATTGGACGGAATTTAGAAGAGGGAATATGTATGGTAATTATTTATAAGTAACCCGCGGTCGAAATTCATAGAAAACGATTTTAAAAATGCCGCAATTTCACTGTTTTTAATAGTGGGCACTGGTGTAGTTTGTGCAAATGTATTCGAAAATGTTTAGGTCAATATTTAGAAAATGACACCAGGCAACTGGATATTGAAAAGAGGGTTTTCTTGTGACCTTCGTTGCCATCGATAATGAGCAGTAGTTGAGATATTGGAAAAAAGTGGAAGGTCACAAAACGTAAAAAACCTAAAAAAAAAAATATATATATATATATATATATAAACCTAACCTAACCTGCCTAACTTAACCAAACCTAGCCTAACCTAACGTAAATTAACCTACCATAACCTAACCTAACCTAACTTAACCTAACCTAACCCCTAGTGAGTAAGAAACTTACCTTAAGATATATAGGAGGTTAAAGTGTTTCCCCATCTGGAGTACTGTCACCCCGTCTGGTCCCTGAGATATGCTAGGGACTGTCAGTTGATTGAAAATGTTCAAAAGAGGGCCACCAGACTGGTGCCTGCACTGTGGCACCTCAGCTACCCTGAGAGAATAGAGAGCCTGAATTTGCCTAGCTTATACTACAGACTGGCAAGGGGTGACCTAATTGCGGTGTATAAACATCTCAAAGGGCACTACTCAGCTGAGTGTCCTTATCTGGAGCTGGCAGACGCTCGCCCCACAAGGGGTCACAGCTCAAGGTTGTGAAGCCGCAATCCCAGAAAACTGTGAGGGATAACTTTTTCGAAGCGAGAGTTGTGAACTCCTGGAACAATCTGCCAGAGAGTGTTGTGATGGTACCGAGTGTGAGCTCTTTCTAGACCAAACTTGACCAACACTGGAGCAAGTTCAGATACATTCAGGAGCCAATTCATGCCCAGTACTTGTCAACAGTGCATAACAGAGACAAGACTAATCGCCCAAGCGGCTAATGAGCCGATCAGTAGTGAAGAGGATAAAAGTAAAAGACTTTAATGAGGAGTGGCCGTCAGTGTCCGTCTCTTACCACAGTACTATGCATGGCATTCTACACGGAATTGACACTGAATTATATCTCGGACACTTTAGCGAATGAAACAAAAACACCGTGAACCCAAAATATGCTGATTAATGCAACACCCAGCCAATGTACATTCATCACACACTCCTTCTTCCAACTGGCCACGAACGCTGATTAGTGCATGAGTATTACGTCACATCAGCACTCACGCTGATTGGCCAAATATTATGCTTTACCTTTTTTTACTTTTACTTGAAAACTGTAAATTTCCGATGGAAACGTTATAGAATAAATTATTTTTATTTATTTTTTCTTGATCTCCCCACATGTGACACTATATTCAGTTGCCTGGTGTCATTTTCTAAATATTGACCAATGTTTATTTCTAAAATAAACATACCCTAACCTTAGTGGGTATGAAAAACAGACCTTCTCAACTTAGCCAAACAAACCTACCTAACCTTAACTACCTTACCTCCTAGTATATTAAACACAAAGAACTTACTATGATATGGTATAATTTGAGTTTCTCTGGATGTGAGACCAGTTGGCAGCATCGGCGCTTATGCAGTCCGGGTGGCGGAGTGATTTGTTATTGAGATGGCGGGAAACGGTGAGCCACGGCGTTGAGGAAGTGATGAATGATTGTTTCATTCAACAACTGACTTGGCTTACAAACCCAGTTCTATTTAAAGGAACGATGCTGGGGTCTTTGAAAAACTGACGGGTCTCGTCTTTATCCCTAAATTTGCAAATTTCACCTGCATAAGACCGGCGACAACCTTCAGACGTCATGCTGAAAATGAAACTGCTGTAGGGAGGTGAGGACTCGTCTCTTTGCCGCACCAGAGCGCTGCCTCATTACTGCCGGAAAGACAAATTAGTGCACGCCTAGGAGCCTAATTATCTACAAAACGAAGCATATCATATCAGAACCTTCTGATTAAAATAAAAAGATAATAAATAGTAAAACAAAAAACTAGTCCACTGGTTAGTCATCAATATTAACCATATATATTAGAAGAAACACTAGTTTGGTTGAGTTAGAGAATACTGTATTAAGTGTGTAAGGCGTGTATGTCTGTCTTGATTAAGTTCTGTCTGGCGGGACTCTTGAAGTGCGAAAAAAAAATTAAACCACCATAAGGACCTGTTAACTTTATATCAAAGTTTTAAGGACATATGATTATGTATTTGCAGTTTGAAGTTTTATGTCTAATTTTCACTGTTTCAGTGTGGATAAATAAACATCAAAGCATTAATCAACACAGATGCTAGATGTGTTGGATTTTTTTTACATACTGTATAATTCGGTTTATTTAATTTTTTTTTTAATTTGCTACTTTTCCACCCAGGAAGATGATGTAACTTTCACTTTGTCCCATTAATACATGATTGATTTATAAGCTTCCTGTATTGTAAAAAGTGAAAAAAATTTGAAACTAATTTCAGAAAGTTTTTAAAAATATTAAGTTAAGTGTCTTTAGAGAGGCTGGTAGTACCTGATGCTCACAGTAGCAATAATCATTTGACAGCAGAGGACATGAAAAAGCGAGACCTTAGTTAAAGTTCTTAAGTCAGGTTTGTTGTCTGGTTTAATAATGCAGACTTGTTGTTTGGGGGACAACTTCTGTCTTGGATTACATGACTGGTGGAGTTGCACTGTTGACCCAGTGATGTAAATGTTATTCTTTTTTAAGCAGGAAAGGAGACTGTGAAAGGTGTTAAAGAGCAACAATGAACGGGTGTGTCATAGAAGGAACACCAATAGCTATCGATTTCTGGAAACCTACAAAAGCACCCCAGGTAAAATAACATAGTACAGTAGAGTAATACTGTGTATATATATATATACTGTATGTGAACATGATTCATTGGGGACAGATGGTAGTATAGTACTGTAGTCACGGAAACACGACTAATTGATGGAACTTTATGTTTTGTTGCAAAATTCTTGTGACGAAACAACAGGAATAAAGCTCCATCTCCTAGTCGTGTTTCCTTCACTACCACACTATTACCAGATGATATATGTACAGTACTATATTCTGTAATGATTATACTATTGAGGTAATGGATCTGTATCAACTGTAACTTGAGAGATTTTTAGGACTCTTGACTTTTGCTCTTAAGAAAAATTTATAATAAATAATGATAAATAACCCACTGCTTTGTTACAAAAATTTTAGTAAAACGCTTACTTTTGTCAGACGGGGCTGGAAGGATCTTATACTGTATTTAGCTCCTATACAGTTTTAGCAAGACTAATCCTATTCATCATGGTACTATGCCTAACACAAAGTTTAAAAGCCAAAATACAAATTATTCAAAACAAGATGGTGAGGTTTATCATGGTTATATGTCTGGTAAAGGACATTATATCA